CACAGTAAAAGACAATAGGATGCTATTCAAATATCTATCGCACAGTATTTTTTTGTGGTGCCAGAACATTCTGAGCAGTGCACAATACCACACCATAGTAAGATGAACAATACATACCTCCACATACTCATTGCGCAGATGTTTCACTCTCTCTGAATTTCAGTCAAATGGTACCCGATACAGTTGCTTCATGTATATTTGATTTTTCTTTTCCTAATGTTGACAGAGAGACTCTTATTGATCAAAACCATGTTCACAATGGCGGCCTGTTGTGCACGAGTGAACATAGGGCCCCTTCCACCTTGGTGTCCTCAACCCTCAAGTATGTAAAAAAAATATATAAAAAATACACATGCAGCCTACTGTCAAATGTCACAGTAAACAATATTGATGTACAGCAAGCTTCAGTTTTCAATGTACTGTGTGGTTAGCTTACCTGTTTTCTCGATGAAATGTCCGAATTACTGACGCAACAGTATTTCTGATGAGATATCGCCTTCTCCTCTTCCTCTACCGCCTTCTCCTCTTCCTCTACCTCCTTCTCCTCTTCCTCTACCTCCTTCATCTCCTCTTTGAGCTCCCCCTCTCATTTTCACTCTTGTTCTTCTTCTTCTAGCTCCTTCCATTTTTGTTGAAGACAGGTGAAGGCAAGGCAAGTTTATTTGTATAGCACATTTCAACAACAAGGTAATTCAATGTGCTTTACATAAAACATAAAAGCAACAGGGAAATATAATAAAGTTTAAAAGCAACATAAAATACAATAAAAGCCAAAAAAGAAAAAGAAAACAGGACAGTAAAAGTTACAGTGCAGTGTATTAATTAATCAATTAACAGAAAAATCTTAAATATTTAATTAAAAGCAATGGTAAAAAGAAAAGTCTTCATTCTTAATTTAAAAGAACTGACAGTTTCAGCAGACCTGCAGTTATCTGGGAGTTTGTTCCAAATATATATGGAGCATAATAACTGAACGCTGCTTCTCCTTGTTTAGTTTTGACTCTGGGGACAGAAAGCATGGACATGTCCATGGACATGGACAGAGGTCTGGATGGTTCATAACAAAGTAGAAGATCAGAAATGTTACTGTTACAGTAGTCAAGTCGACATAAGATAAATGCATGGATAAACTTTTCCAGGTCCTGCTGAGACATAAGTCCTTTAATCCTTGATATATTCTTCAGGTGATAGTAGGCTGACTTTGTAATTGTCTTAATATGGCTACTCCAATTCAGGTCCATGACTACACCAAGATTTCTGGCTTGATTTGTGGTTCTTAACATTACAGATTGAAGTCGTGCTCTGACTTTCAATCGTTCCTCCCTGGCTCCAAAAACAATAACTTCAGTTTTATCCTTGTTTAATTGAAGAAAATTCTGGCACATCCAATCGTTGACCTGCTCAATACAGTCACTCAGCACTTGTATGGGATCATAGTCCCCTGGTGAAATGGTTATGTAAATCTGTGTGTCATCTGCATAATTATGGTAACATATTGCTGTTTTTCATAATCTGAGCCAGTGGAAGCATGTAAATTTTAAACAAAAGAGGCCCCAGAATGGAGCCTTGGAGAACTCCACATGTAATTTTTGTCAGCTCAGATGTGTGATTACCTATAAACACAAAGTAGTCCCTGTCCTTTAAGTAGGATTCAAACCAGTTTAGTACTGTGCCAGAAAGTGTAGAGACATGTTGACAATTTGTAGTAAATCTGAGGCCATGCATTTAGACACATTTTTGAAAAAACCTGTTGGCAAAATATCAAGGCAGCATGAGGAGGATTTCAAATGTTGTATTATGTCCTCCAGGTTTTTATGGTTAATAGAATCAAACTGTCTCATACTATATGAATTGTTTTTACAGTTTTTCTCAATTGTTTACACACAAATTCTGGTACTTGAGACACAATGACCACAACATGTAACTCATCCACCAACCCCCTGAACCAATTCTGCTAAACTACAAGCACAATTCAAATTGCAGTTCTAAAACACACTTTTTTCAAAAACACTACACACAATTCTCTGCTTTTGGCACAAGTTTCATGCAGAAAATATCTTGTTTTCACAAGGAACACACTTCCATTCAAATATGCACACTGACTCATCACAAGGGCAAACACCCGTCACACAGTGGATGCCAACATTGGAAACAGGGGCAGAGCCGGACGAGGACGAGGACGAGGACGAGGACAGTCAAGGACCGTAATCTCTGATGAGATCCGAGCCACTTTGGTTGATCATGTGGTCAACCATGGTCTAACAATGAGGGAGGCTGGGCAAAGAGTACAGCCAAATCTGAGCAGGTACACTGTAGCATCCATCATCCGGACTTTCCGAAATGAGAATAGGTAAGAAATCTACTCTCACTAGCAAATTGCAGTACTGCATATCAATACAGTACTCAATGAGTACAGTAGTACAGTATTGCCTGTGGACTGTTCTGCAGGACTGTAAAAATACTGTAAGTATGTTTCAAGTATTTAGGAAATGTATTCCTACTTTCTATTTACAGTATTTTACTATTTGTTTGGCAGGACTGAAAGATTACCAACATAAGGTGGTCGGGAACGTCTTCTGTCTCCTGAACAGGAAACTGAAATCATAAACATGGTCCTAAAAACACGCCATAACATTACAGCAAATACAAAGAAAATAATAGAAAACAATGACATATTTCAAAATATATAGGGTAAGCTTATCAACACTGGACCGTGTCTTGCGCAGAAATCATCTCAGGATGAAGCAGTCTATAGGGTGCCATTTGAACGCAATTCAGAAAGAGTCAAGAATTGCAATATAACTATGTGCAAGTGAGTCCCACAATTGATGCATACTCTCAACACTGTATACAGTGTACCCACCACGGCGTCATCCATCACCATGCTACCCTTGGCCCCTACAACACCGCCCATCTGATCACATTCCTGGACACCCTACACAACACACTCATTCCACCAGATCAGGTAGATGGCTCAGAGCAGCTCAGGTACGTTGTCATTTGGGACAACGTAAGTTGGTTCGTAACTGGTTCACTGCCCACCCACACTTTTTAGTTGTTTATCTCCCTCCATATTCTCCATTCCTCAATCCTATTGAGGAATTTTGTTCTGCCTGGAGATGGAAAGTGTATGACCGAAATCGACAAACGCCTATACCTCTTCTCCAAGCTATGGAGGATGCATGTGGAGATATAGCAGCTGATGCTTTTCATGGCTGGAATCGCCATGCTAGGCGATATTTCCCCTGCTGCTTGGCCAGGGAAAACATTGCTTGTGATGTGGATGAGGTGTTGTGGCCAGACCGCAACAGAAGAGAGGATCCAGCATAATTTATTTTTAGGTTTTTTTTGTTTGTTTTTTACTGTAACTGTGTACAATAAATTCTTCTGTTTTGTATGTAGTGTATGTGCAACTTTGTGTTGGTTGGGAATGGGATGTACACTGTGTACATTGTTTTTGTGGGACAAATAAAATATTTGTTACCGTGTATTTGTGTGTTCTGAGTATAAAAACAATATTCTCAAATATTTTACAACACACTTTGAGCACATCAGTGTTCAACTGGTTCTTATGAATGTCTATTCATATGATGGTTTGTGTGTAATTTGAAAACAATATACCATTTTGAGTAGAACTAACATTGTTTTGAAGTTTCATTTTGCAGGAGAATTGAGGGGTTTTGCCCATTGTGTGTGTGTCTTTTTTGACTTGCGTGTAGAGTTCTGAGAATATGAGGCATTCTTTCAGAAAATGTGTGTAAACAATCGAGAAAAACTAAGTGGACACAGGGAAAGGACGTATCCTGTAACTGACATGGAGGCACTGATTGCTTGTCTAATTGTTTGAATTTTGTCTGTGAAGAAGCAAGCAAATTAATTGCAGGCCCTGGTGGATAGAGGATACAGACACAGGAGGGTTGGTTAGCCTGTCGACAGTAGCAAACTCACCTGCTGCCTTTTATAGCACACCTGAGTGCTGCGTTTTTCAAATTAACACATGTGTGCTTCCACACCTGCTGGATGTGATTATCCAATTTGTTCATTAGTGTGGTCACTGGCAATCTGGGGCTTTGTAATGACAAGGAAGTAACCTCACAATCCCTATCTGTGTCTAAGGTGTGAAAATGTGTGTAGATTTTACAAATCACTGTATGTAATGTTTGCAAAAAGGGTGAAGCAGACATTGTGTGTAACTTTGTGCAAATCTGTGGAGGTGTTTTGCTCATTGGAGTAGAATTTAGCAAATTGTGTGGAAATTTTTATTTTTGTTTGTAAACAATCGTAAAAAACTGTAAGAGGCAGAAACCTTGAGCAGAACCATGGCTCAGGGTGGGCGGCCATCTGCCTCGACCAGTTGTGGGGGGGGGTTACAATAATAACAATAGGAATAGTAACAATAATTGCAGCAGGTGACTCGCAGCCACAGATCCAGACTCCACAGCTCCAGAGCCAGAAAACCTGCAGGAAGTGATAGGAGGAGAGAGGAGAGGGACGAGAAAGCACAAGACTACCAGAAAGGGGAGAAGTTGAGTTAGTAATATTTAATATATAATATATATAGAATATAATTCAAAAAATGGAATATTAATATTTATTGCCTGTTTTGAACAGCGAGGCTTGTGATGTTTATGTTGTGTTGAAATAAATTAACATTTTCAGTCTTGAAATAGTCTGAATTCTGAATTTCTTTAAAAGCCGTGGTCGACTCTGTCCGGGCATGACCAGTCTGTAATATCACAAATACAGCTTAATCCCAAAACATCCACAAGATAAATTACATTTGGGCAATAAACCATATAAATAAACAAATCAACAAATGCATGGCATACATTACCACAGTGGGAGATCAGTAATTTACTTTAGTATAAATGTTTTATGTAAACATGTAGTACCATCTTTCACCACACAGGTTGACCATTACAATCAAAAGGGGTGCTGCTTCATTCATTTGAAGAAACTAAAATATCTGGAGCTGGCCCCCCAACATAATACAAATAAAGGATGACACACAATGACTTCATTGAACTAAAATAACAATGACAAATAAAAGTTGAAATCTGGCTTCTCTTGGCTTTCATTACAAAATGACCCTTAGTCTGGCGTATTGAGTAACTGGTAAATGCTGGACTGTATTGATTCTTTATGTTTTTCTAAATGTTTTGGAAAGAATAATAAGGAATCCTGAAATAAATGATTAGTATCATCAGATATCATTTGATATCTGCCAAAAGAAAATGGAACCTTACAGCACATTATAAGCTGCACAGTACAAAACCAAGATTCAAATGCAAACATTACTATTTGTATCCGGTCTTAAAATGAGTCCCTCGATCGAAGTTCTGGTAGATGGAGTCTTCACATGTGGAGACTGGAGGACAGTTCTCATAGATGACGGACTGAAAATAAAACAGGAACGACATCAAAACTAAAATACAGTGGCCAGACTAACAGACCAGACATTTATTATTCCTAAGCAACTGTTAAATAGCACATTTAGAGCAAGAAGTACAAGGTAACTTCTAAAGTAAGAGTAATAGCAAGATAAATTGTACCATAATAAGACCAGCATAAGCATAACTGAGTAAAATCAATATTGGTGCAAAGAATTTAAAACAAAGGATGTAGAAGGGGACACTGCACTGCCTACAAAACACTATGTTAAGAGTACTTAACTCTTAACATAGGACCAACTGAGAACCTGACATTTCTATCCACAGGGCCACACTATTCTTCTCCAAAGTCATCTGTCAAAAAAACATAGTCACCTCCACCTCCATCTGTACGCTGCCTGCATTTCCTCTGGTGTTCAAACCAGTATTCCTCCTTGTCTTCCATTTGTAGATGACCAGCAGAGAAACAGCCAACAGCACAAGAACCAAGGGCAGGCACACAACCAGAGGCAAGAAGTAACCTGGGCGAGGGACATAGGAGAGGGCTGGGAGGAAAGAAGAAAGAGAGAGAGACAAGTAGCAAATACACGGTTTATTAAAAGGGAACTTTTTATCTTTAACTTGGAACATAAGGTGCCCTGTGAAGTTTTTGATCACTAGTAGAGCTATTTTGTTTCATATGTTTGACCCTGTTGTGTTGTTTTCATGCAAGCACATCTTGGTAAATGTAATAAAGATTCCTGCCAAAAGACACCAAATCTCTGCGTTCAAGTCAGTTGTTAGACCTCAAGGATACACAGTGTTTTGGTGTTTTAAAGTGCGGCAACACAAAGGAGGCTAACCCTACCTGTTAGCGCATCTGCTATGCTGGATTTCCAATTTCAGCAGTATGCCTAACTCTTTTTATCTCCATATCTAAGTCCTGCCGGGGTTTTTATTGATATATTATTTTGTAAAATTTTTCAAGTGTGTGCAGTTCAGACATTTGACAGTTTGTAAAACATATATCAGTTAGCACACGAACTGTTCACCTGTGGATGTCCTTCAGGTTATACTTACTACATTGTCAGACTGAAGGACTACAGCCTCAAGGACAAGTTACAAATATGATACAGTATTTTTTATGGGCACCATATCTCTGATTTATTATCTATTATCCATATTGACTAAACAAGTTCACCATTTTCACACAAAATTGACATACCTCCAGCCTCTCTGCCTAGACCTACTATATAAATACACTTTTTAAAAGCATTTGTTAAAAAAGATTGCTTGCAATAAAAAATGGAAAATAACTTAAAATGCTTTAAGAAAGGTTTATTTGCACGATAAGCAATGTAAACTTAGAAGGAACAAATGTGCATTGTCCAAAAAAAGTAACTTAAGCTAAAAGAACAAGCCGCTGATTACAGCATATATACTATATTTGTACATTTTGAAAAGACACCTGCCAGCTGAATTTTGTGTTTCCTTTTTATAGAAATAAAGACATTCCCACCATAAATTGGTGCAGAACATTTCTCCAGAACTCAGAAAATTAAGTGTTTAATGCTGAAAAACGTGTTGAGGAGGACCCTCAGACTCCCCACTCATATACTGTATTTCAGCATTGAATATTACTTCAAAATAGGGTTAAATGGTTAAAAAGTTTATCGTCAGATGATAATAAATTACTTTTGTTGGGAATTGATACTATAGAAAAACTGTATTGAACAGATAGTATGTTGATTAGTGGTTGTAATTACATTGTAAATACATTTGCTGAGTGACATATTAACGTCCACTGCTCACTTTTAAGGTCTGACGTAACGTTACAATTATTCAGTTAGGAACAGTGATACTTTTACTTACTCATTCAGTTCGTCCTCTATTGTCTGCCACTCCTTTTCTTGCTGTTTTAATACTGTGGGCGTTTTTCTTTTTTAAAAAGATATTATGTGCATTTCTTTATCATAAACCTTCTTTACAAAGTGAGTAACAGCGAATAAAGTATGCTGCAAACGTCTTTTTCATTTCGGCGTCAATGAATCTGATCGGCCGTGTGAAAGTTGTTGACATGCTTAACTGAATTACTTACACCTGGCTTGACATAGCCACTCCTCCTGAGCCTGGTTTGGCCTTTGTGAAACTGATTAAGCCAGGATGCACTGATCACACTTGGTCAAGCCTAGCTTTATCTCTTATCCTGGATTTCTAAATTCTGCTTTTGTGAAACCGCCCTCTGGTGAAAGAGAAATCGCGATAATCAGACAACAACCACAAAACACAGGCAATCTCAAATAAAATAGGAAGTAAAGCATACGACACACAAAGAAAAATGTAACACAGTCCAACAGAACTTAGAACAAATGCCAACAAACCAACCAAATCAAAAGCACAGAACAGCAACGAGGAACTAGAACAAAGACGGAGAAACAAAAACTAATAGCAAAATGAGAGCTAAACACAAAATCCAAAAAAAACAGGCCTTAGCAAGACTGAAACAGGAAACACGGAGAACACAAACCCAAACCCCTAACAACTTCAAGCACTGGTGGACAAGTCTACTTGTCCGGCAGTGGTTAGGTTTGAGAGGGAATGTGGCTGGAGAGAGAGACAGAAAGGCAGAATTTGACCGTCTACATGTAAATTCTGCATGGCAACTTTAACAAAAAAGAGAAAAATCTGACTCTGAAAATATGTGACTTTTGTCTTGATGTTTCTTTACCTGTTACAGTATCTGTTCAAATCACAAACATTATAGTCTGGTATAATAAGAGGGCATCTGTAGCATCTTTAATAAAAACCTGATGATCTTTACATCATGTAGACTTACAGCTGAAGATAAAGATGAAAATAACTGTAAATTTTAATGACAGACACTGATCGGCAGGACTAACAACACACTGTGAAACTGTACCTGTCAGCTGGTTGGTGGTTTCAGGGAAAGCTGGTGAAGATGTGAAACTTCCCGAACTGGAGCTCTGAGTTGTTGCTTGTGTGGAGGCTGTTGGGACTGATGTTGGTCCAAGAGTCCAGTCTGGTTTTGAAGTGGTCGGAGCTGTGATCAATGAAAACACAATGAAACAATCAGCTACTGAATCCATACTGAAACATAGAAGTCCTGGTGAGAGAATGCCCATTGATAGAGTTGGTTTGTTCAATTAATGGTCACAAAAGCAAATTCTGTTGATTTGATTTTTGCTGACAAGAGAAGGTCTAAGTTTTCCTGCTCAACACATCGCACAAGTCTTAACATGATCTCCTATATATTGGATGTGGGATCATTAAATGCAAATACGTATGATCATTAAGATGAACTGTTAGGGGTTAAGGCCCTCTCTGGTTCATGTCCATCTTGTACTTCTTTTTTTAAAAATTAACGTGCTCTGAACAGGAGGTAGATGGATTATGAAGACACATTTTTATGACATTCAATAAACCAAAAACTCACCATCTATGACAATGATCTGAAGTGTGCGGTATGAATCTTGAGACAGAGCTCTGCCGTAACCACACCTGTACTGTCCTGAGTCTGACTTGGTCACCTGTGTGATGGTCACATACAGTCCAAATACAGATCCTTCTATATATTCAATGCTGTATCTGCCACTCTGAGCTCTGTTTTCATCTGTTTCAATGATAATGTCCTCTTCTTTTTTACATTCACCCTTACATAAAAACTTCTGCTTTCCATAGACAGTATCGCTGCATCCAATTTTCATATCACCTCCTTCAATACCTGTACGGATAAAACCAGAGTTTCCCGCTAGCAGTTCTGTTGAAAAGAGGAACAATCATTAGTATCTTTCTGTACTTCCTGTAAGACGCTGCAGTCAGATCACAATACTTCCTGCTTCACATTAACACAGACACACTGGGAGCTGCCCAGTACAACCGCAGTGTGTGATTAGAAGGGAAATCATTTGATCTTATATTAATAAAATCCAGTTCATACATCATAAATAACTCACATTGTTCCCACTGTTTAATAACATTTTTTTCCCCAAGCACATGCAAAATTAGACATCAAAAGGGGCTCAAGAGCACCTGCCCAAGTGCTATTTTTTCTGGGTTGCTTTTTTAATATATATATATATAGAATGTGTGTGTGTGTGTGTGTGTGTGTGTGTGTGTGTGTTTGCACACAGCTTCCCTGTCAAACAAACAGGAGTTTGTTGGTGGTGAAGTGGTGAAGAACAAAAGACTAAGCTACCAATGCCTCAAGCTAATTAGCCAAAAGAAAAAAGCTGAATGTTATAGTTAACTTGTGACTCGCTAACGTGCATGACTCATGAGATCAACTAATGTAATAAGTCAGCTAAAGTTTAGCTATGGCAATATATCATGGCCATACAGGCTAATGTACTGTGCTTAACTGAGACATTATAGGTGAATACAATGAAATTTGTGTCTAATAATGTCATCACACCACATTGATATGCAAATTAGGAGTTAACTAATTAAAATGCAAAGCAAACAAATTGTTATTGAAACTATTAGGGCTGGACCCGAATATTTGAATATTCGATCGTTGGGTACACATTCGATTTTCCATTTTGAGATTCGCTGTTTTTTTCGCGCGCTTGACCTCCGCTGACATCAGTGAACGTAACACTCCAGTTCACATCAAAGGGAAAACAAAAAGAAGCCCTCAGCCGTGTGGGAGCACTTGACAGATGGCAGTTATGGCGTTCATTAATATTACAATTGCTTAATTTCATTACAGATGAAAATAGTCAAATTTCCTACAATTTTAAATTAATCAGTAAACTGTAGGCTGGAAACAAACAACATAATGAATACATTATGAACACAATTATATTAGGCTGATTGTAGAAGAAGAGCATTTAGTCGCTATAATAAAAGTTAAAAGTGAATTTTACAAAATAACGTGTTATTTAGAAATACTGCTGTCCGCCTGGACGCCCACCCGGCTAAACTATTCCCAGATTCTGCTCTTGACCTGTTCGGATCAGAGTACTATTAATTACTATCAAAGCATTGAAGCTCGAAAAATGTTATATATGTATGAGACAAGTGCATGTGAGGGAATTAAAATAAATTTGTAATTGGAGTTCTCTTAATATATTTAACGTTTTGTTAAAAAAACAAAACATTTTTAATAAATAATTATGAGAAGTGCCCCTTTTTGCACTTGAGCCCCTTGCTCTACCAAAATGTCTGTGCACGTCCCTGATTTTTCTTAGCTTCAAAAATCATTACATATGTTGAATATACTAAATATATCCGGTTTAATGACTTTCAGTAGAAACTCACCATCTGAAACTCTGACCTCAAAGTCACTGAATGATTCTGGAACTGAAGTCCCGCCCAGACCACACCTGTACCGTCCTGAGTCAGACTTGATCAGATTTGTGATGGTCACAGACACAATTCCTCTTCCAGAAGGTCCATCTCTGTATTCAATGCTGTATCTGCCTCTCTGAGCTCTGACATCATCTGTTTTAACCAGAATATCTTCTGCTTTACATTCGTTCTTACAGAAGAACTTCCTGCTTCCAGACGGAGACAGAGACAAGTAGCAACTAATTGTGCTAGTTCCTCCCTCAGCTCCTGTAAATATGTAGACTTTTGCGCTGACGAGCCCAGTGTTTCCACCACACAGTGCTGTTGGAAAGATGAACAGAGAACCCTGATGGTCAGTACTTCCTGTGCTGTACACTGACTGTAAAACAGACTGCAGGTAAATGAGGACTAATCCACACAAAGAAGCAGAGGTGACACTAGGTACAATACAGGGTTGTCCAGTTTGGGTTTGAAGCAGTCGAAGCAGTGATCAAAGAAAACACAATAAAACAATCAGCTACTGAATCAGTACTGATACAGGGAAGTCCTGATGAGATGAAATTAGATGCTGCTCATTGATTGATAGATAAATAAATCACACATTCTTCTGTCCCGACCAGTCAGGATGGAAGAAAAACACAAACGGTATAAATTTAAATTGTTTTGTTATTGTTTTATATTTGAAATGTCTGACATTGTCCTTTTTATAATAATTGCAGATATATTATGTCCTTTATCTTAATAAAAATATATATAACATTTTATTTTTAGAACATTAATAAAATGAACATTAATAAAAACGCGGCACATTTTTTCAGACCTATGTAGATCAGCCTTAAATTTAGACTATCCGTAAATTCCTGCTTCAAATCATATTGACTGATTTACAGGTCAACCAATCATTTCTGTCTCACTCACAATATTACTGCGTTAGCGGAACGAAAGAAAGAAGTGTTTCAATCGTCACCACAATGACTGTTAAATGTGACTCGCCTCTATACTGAAAAACTTTGATAGGGCAAACTTCGGGACGTGGTAAAGTACTAACTAATCTGGCATATGCTCTTGATACATGAAACAATAGACACAAAAATAATTACCGCTTGAGTAAATTTAGTCTTAGTTCAGTTCAGTAAATTCAGTTCTAGTAAATATTGTGTACTGTGTGCTGACATAGTTTTGACATATCAGACTTATACGGGCTTTCAGTGTTACTTTGTCCTGTGTTTCGTCCGTCCCGGCTCTCCCGTACATAAATGAGCAACAAGGAATAACAGATGATGAATACTTTAGTTTAAATTGCTCAACATGTCATTACAATGGGCTGGAAATGATGCAGCAGAAACTAGATAACGTAATTGATCAAAAACAACAGGACATCTGAATAAGAACACAGCAACTGATAAGTACAAGTCATCCAACATTTGGACAAATGTCCAGCAGTGTGTGCTGCAGCTTTAAAGAGACAGTCAGGTAATCAGTCCTCACCTGAGAAGAAGCAGAAGAACAGAACACGGTGGATATTCATTCTGAATTTGATCCTGATGGAGACAAATCATTCAACTGCAGGAGAACTGCCTCTATCACTTCACTCTTTCCACTCTGTCTGATCAGTCAGGAAGATGAAGTTGCTTTAACTTAACATTTCCTTCCTCTATCTCTCTTTCTGTCTGATCGTTTGTTTCCTATCTTTAGCTCTGCGCACTAACTCAGTCCTTATAAAGTCTGTGAAGACTGGTGCCCAGTCTGCTGGGTGATTTGGTGGAGCAGCAACTTTTCCATCAGGGTCTGAGCTGCTTGTATCTGATGCTAGTACATCTCTGGCTGTGCTCGTACTGGCTGAGGCTGCCTGGTTTTCGCCTGGGTCTGTGCGACTCGCTAAAGATGTCTGGACTGGTTCTGTGCTAGAATACTATTGGCTGAGACTGGAGTCTGTGCTAGTGTCAGTGTGTTGGCAAAGAGGTCACTGCTAAAATGCGTTTTATAAGTATGATAAGTTTTATTTTGTACGTGCGTGCATGGTAATCTTTTCCGAGCTGCAGTTTATAAACATGGTTGCCCGGCTGCGTTTATCCAACTTAATAAATGGTCGTATTTCACTTTAACATTTTTCAAGTCTGGCAGAAGTACACAACATTGTAAACACTTCATTTCACAACACTGACCAGTAGTTTTTGAAGTTCCTTAGCATACACTTTGTTCTGATCCCTGTTATGAGCCTGTTTTCACCTTTTATTTATTCAGGTTTCACACCTGGGTGCTGCCTAGTAGAAGCACAGTCTGAGGGATTTAGGACACCTTAGTGGTGGTAAACGAGGGAAGGCAAGCACTGCATGTTCACTTTCCACACCTTAATGTATCCTGCCAGCGCGGGGAATGAACGGGCGACCTCCCCCTTCACAAACTTGCTTCTCTAACCTTTGGGCCTCTGCCTTGCAGCTTTGTATTGTATGATCGCCACCACACTTGGCATTCATCATTTTACCCTGACAAGCCCCACCAACATGTCCAAACCTCTGATAATTATAGAAGCCCAACAGTGGCTTAATGTACTCCCTAACATAATATGCCATACTCCCAAGAAACACTCTCTGTGGCTCTACACCAGGGGTATTCATTTAGAATTCAAAGATGTCCAGTTAGAGAAAATTTCCTTAAGCAAAGGTCCGGAACATCAAAACGACTAACTTGCATTATCATTCAGGGCCATAGCATATAGTTGTATCAACTTATATGTTTTTAGTCAACAACTGACAATATTTCAACAATATTCAGTTTTCACATCAAACTGGAGGGATAATAAATACGAACTACTCTAATAATAAATTCTAAACTATGTAAAGTGCCTAATTTTTAGAAAAAATCTTATAAAAAGTGTAGCTTGAAGTGATGAAGCGCAGTCTTAACCAATTTTATAATAAACACATCTTAGCAAATGAACAGCTGTAATGCTTCCTTCTCTCTTTCATTCCCTTCTACAGAGCTACCACTTCCCTACTTTCTCTTGTTCAGTCAGAAACATGAGCTCTAGCTTGTCCTGACAGCTAGCATTGGAGATCTATGAGATATTCTGTTTTGAAACTGCCCGTGGTAATCTGTACACTTTTGATTAAAAGCCATGTGAAATATATTTTCTCTTTCGCCTCCCCTCTCCGTGTGCATTTCCAAAACGTCTCCGGTGTATCTCACTTGCGGACGTCGACTCGAGTCGACTGGACTGCACAGATTTGATTGGCTGAGCAGCGTCACATGAGATGATTTGAGCAATGCGATTGGTCTGTGAGTTTCCTGGGCCGCTAAACAATAACAGTAAATGCTAGAAAAGCTGCGTGGGTTAAACCAAAGTCTCCACCTTGACCACAAACCTCCCCACACCTCTTGCATCATTATCCTGCTTCATATATTGGCAACAAACTCTTAATATTCGATTTTACAATATCTTGGCTGAAGATCCTTGCCTATCTGACTCTCCAAAGTGTGGGTAACATTTAAGGCATTCACTGCATCTCCTTGATTAGTTCCCTTAACGTTGAACAGCACAACAAACTATTCAGTACTTCCAGTTCTCCTAACTTTATTTTCTTCATCTCCTGACATTTCAGGTCTTTCACTTGATGCCTCCCCCTTAGAGCTTTCCCTCACCACCATCCGCCACCCACCACTCCCTGAAGCCATGAGCCTTCTTCCCAACACTAACCTAATTCTTGTAATATTAGCCCTTTGGCTCGACTCATCTTTGTTTGGTTTTCCATTGTGGAAATGTTGCACCTGTACCTGCTTCCAGGTACTTTTTTCGTATCACCTCACCTCGGTCGAGGTTCCAAGCGAGCTGAGGGATACTAACATGTAACATGAAAACACGACAGACTGCTGATTGGTCAGAGAGAATATTCACTATTCACTGCATCATCATTGCTGCACCAGACAGAGGCCAGCAACAGAAAGTTTTACATTTTACAGTTTTCGTATGGAATTTCATCACTAAATCCACTTCTGAGGAGTTTTGAGGTGAGAAATCAGCTGTGTAGATTTTGAATATTGACAATTTTACGAGAAGTGATGGCGGAACAAAAATGTGCTTGAATATTGTCGGAGTTGAGGAGCTCCGCAAGTGGCTGCGGGGGAAGCCTGCTGTGACCCGCAGGAGGAGCGTGTGAGGCCGGCCAGCCGCCCTCAAGTAAGATGCATCACTCTGTAGCTTAAGAGCGGAGCGTACAACACACAGGGTGAAAAGAGGAGCTGCAGCAATGTGCAGTATGAGAAAAATATGGTGTTTTTTTCAACCATGTAAACCTGTTCTGGTACAACCTCTAAATAAGATTTTGAAACTGAAATTGAGTAGAATACCACCTCTTTAAATGTACGACAATATACACAAAAGTGCAATACAATATTTAAACTTAAACATTAATGTCATCAAATATAAAACCAAAGCTATTTGACACTGTCAGGGAATTACCTTTTATCCAGCTTGGTAAAACAAGTTACCATCAGTTTTCTTGATTTTATTTTTCTGAACAGGTATCAGCAGAAACATTTTTCTTTCATCAGGAAGCAGCAGAAACAGCAGCGGGTGTGTTCCCGTTTAAACTGTCGAGGTTGTGCTCACCTCACACACGCCCGACAGCTGCCGCAGTTGAATTGTCTTGAACTTTTTGTACGTGACGCGCAGCACAAATTATTGTAAGAGACTGATCCTTGCTTGTTTGTGAGTCTCCAGAATCTATTCCTGTTTACTAAATAGTTACCAGGACATCAACAGGAGGGAATTCGCATAGCAGAGCATCCCCACAAAACAAGATTTAGGCCTATCAGGTAAAGTTATGTAGCCTATCATTTTAACTACATTCTGCCGTTTACTCGCGGAGCACTCTCTTATTTCTCCCACACGCTGCATCCAGCGTAGTCTCCCGAAGCCTCCCTCTACTGCTTGTTTGGGGGGGTGATTTGCAGGCTGATCAACATCCCGCCCCTCCTGTGACCAATAGTTTGACTGGATGTGTATTCACAGCCAGTGAGTAACGGACTATCAAAATAATAATAAAAACTAATTAATGCGTTACCGCGATAATAACACGTTAACGTGCCCCGCCCTAAATATTAGCCATTCTACTAATTAAATAAAAGGGAAACAAACGGGACTTCCAGCACTGGACACTAACTGACGTTAGAGTCTGCCACTGTGTGCATCTCCAACAAACTTGTCTTGCTGCTCTCTTCATGTCCTCCAGGTACTGATTGGGAATTTGGAGCAGTTGCTGTCAATCACTTACTGTAGCTGTGAGGCAGGAGGGGGAAGGGCAGAACATGCAGGAGCACAAGAAAGAGAGAAGCACGCTGTAAAAAGAGGAAACACGGCTCTAAGGCTGTAACAATAAATATAAAGCTAAGTAAATATGCATAGAAAATGAAGTAGTCATTGTGTGTACTGTGTGTGTGCATGAATCACTGTCTTATATGTGTCTGGATGTGAGACTGAGCATAGGTGTAGAGTTTTGACTTTGAAATTTTGTGTAAAACATTATCAGCAATGCAGTATATAATGTGCAATTAGTGCAAACATATCATTACAGTGCAGGTAAAGTAGCAGCTTATTATCTACATGTACAGAACCACTTACAACAAAACAATTTTTTTAGCCACATTTCAAAGCATCATGAAGTTCACACTTCTTCAAGAATGAGGCGTGAAGACTGTGGTTGCACAGGGCCTCTTTGTCTGGGGCCTCATATATATATATATATATTGTACTTCTCTTTTTGCTGAACATACTTTTAATATATTTTAAGTGTACATAATCAAGGTTATACAAATTCTGCCCGGTTTCACTTAAAAAACTCGATGAAAAAAAAGGTTTCTTCTTTGTGAAAAACTTTGCTGTGGTTAACTCACTGACACTCAATGCACAAACTCAAACATAAAAACCAACGTATCCTCCAGCAGCATGACTGTAAACTGAATTTGGGCAACCCATTCGGTCCCATTAATTTAGTACTAGTACTTTAGTAAGTGATTAAGATCTCTTATTTACTTAAAATTAATACATTTCTTTTAGACAGAACAGGGTTATTTGTAAATTAAGAAACACAGTGACAGGAACAGTTGCATTCAAAACCAATGAAGGATTATATATGTAGAATTATTCATCCTCTAATACACATGGTCTGACACATCCTTAATGCAGGAAACCGGTCAGGTGTACACTTAAAATATATTTAAAGTATGTTAGATAAAATTCAGCAAAAAGGGAAGTACAAAAATATGAGGCCCCAGAGAAAGAGGCCCTGTGCAACCACAGTCTTCACGCCTCATTCTTGAAGAAGTGTGAACTTCATGATGCTTTGAAATGTGGCTACTTGAAATTTTATTAACATTTTGTTTTTTAACACGTTGTGCACACTTCTTGCGTTCCGTCGGCATTACGTTGTCAACTGGCTTTTGGGTCAGGGTCTTCTGCGTTTGCATTGCGGTGCATCTGGGAGTCTTTGTCTTTTTTTATTTATTTATTTTCTTTCTCCCACCCCTATTGGCTACTGGGGTTCTTGCCTGCCTGTTGCTGGGGTCGGTGTGGCTCAGTCG